GTGTGTATGAACAACAACTGAAAGAATTCTGTTATGTCTTCTGTTATGTAACTGAAACTTGAATTCTGTAACTTGAATTCTGTTATGTAACTGAAAGAATTCTGTTCTGTTATGTCAACAACTGGAACTATAAAGAGATAAACGGATTTTCGTTTAAAGTACAAAAAAAATTTTTCATCATGGAATATTATGAGAAACTATTTTTATATATATAATTTCATATTTTTATTTTCAATTTATTTACATAGCATCATATATTTTTGCGCTATGTGAATATATTGCATGTTTTTATTTTCAGTGTATTTACATAGTATCATACTTTTGCGCTGTGTGAATATATTGCATGTTTTTTATTTTCAATTTATTTGCATAGTATCATACATTTTTGAGCTATGTGAATATATTGCATGTTTTTATTTTCAATTTATTTACATAGTATTATATACTTTTGCGCTATGTGAATATATTGCATGTTTTTATTTTCAATTTATTTACATAGTATCATACATTTTTTAGCTATGTGAAATATATTGCATGTTTTTATTTTATCTCGCATGTTTTATTTTATCTCGCATGTTTTTATTTTCAATTTATTTACATAGTATCATATATTTTTGCGCTATGTGAATATATTGCATGCTTTTATAACTGTTAAAACTCCATAACTTCTCGAATATATTTATCGAAGCATATACGGCCGTAACTGGATATACAAAGTTTAATTTCATGTTTTTCAAAAGTCAACTGCATACAAAATAGCTTCTTTTATTAAAGTACATATTGTTTGATTTTTATAGAAGTATGCCAATGAGAATTGTTTAGAGAACACTGCTAGTTGGCTGGCTGGCAAACTACGCAATCAAAAATAACCCCATTACTTGTAACGATTATTTGGGAGAAAATCGTAGAGCACCAAGAAATTAACTTCTATATAGTGCAAGTATATTCTGAAGAGCAATGAAGTTTAAAATACAACCCTTTTTCTCTGCGTCTGAACTGAGAAAAATATAATAGCCACAAAAGTTTCAGCTTTGAAAACAGCCAGAGTTGTTCCGTTAATTTACGATCTTCTATTACATCACAAAATTTATGAGGCATTTAGACTAAGAACGTTCTAGCTGTAGCACAGCTTTGAGTGAAGAAATCTCTAACCGTGTATTACGTAACAGGTTCAATTCGCTTGTTTTCCTTATTCTGCGTTCCTGCGCAGATATTTCATCCGTACTATATCTTCTGGCGTACACTGTTTTCAAGTAATTAATCGCTATAGATTTCAAATAATTAATCGCTAAGACTAACACAAATGCACAAATTTCTTTACCATTTCAGTTGCATGAAATTGGTGGAACTTCCTTCGTAAATTCTTGGCCACAAAATACATGCATGCATTGTGCTTTGAATAATGATCGAAGATTGTTCCTCAATAAAACCAACTTTGAGATGCGCACTTGAAGGTGTTTAAAATATAGGAATTCACTCTAAATATTCGCTATTTTAAAGTGACTAGACTTTACTAAAACTAGCGTGTGACAAGACAGTTTCAGCAACCAACTGAAATATATATATATATATATATATATTAAAAAAAACTTACTTTGAAGTATGGTCTAATCATTTCAAATAATTAATACTCTCGTTTGGATATTTTTTAGTTGTTCACATGTTATAATAAAACCACAGCTACAAATCCCGTGGTTTCAAACCATTTCTCTCTTCCATGAAAATAATCCTTTTAGAGGATATAATTACTGGTGATATTTAATATCAGTATGTCTTTATGTTTTTAAAAACATCAACCACATTTAAAGACTTCTCAATAGGAGAAATGTCAATACATTTATTGTAGAAATCAGTCCCGGCTCCAAGGACAGGAGAGTTTAAACAGCTAGCAAGTATCGGACCACACAGGCTCCAAGGACAACACTTCTAGCGGGATAACTTCCGACCTAAGGTTAATGCCAAACGGAATTGAGTGCCATCCCGCCAACGACGAACTACGATATAACAACGCCACAGCCAAGGCGAGGACACGACAGTACCAGTATGGTCCCTGCCAAGCCTGAACCATCCTGAGAATAAACTCGGATTCTAGTCCTGTGAAGAGTGATTATATACCTTCATGGTTGAGACTGCCTAAGTACAGATCCTAGCCAGTACTTCCCAGAAATTCTCCTGAGTCAACCCCCGGGGTTAAGGCTCCAAAGACAGGAAACATAAGCAAATTATAAGGAGGCTTATTCTCACAAGGGACAAATTGGCTTTAAATTATTAATATGTTTAATTTGCATGGGACGACAGCTGCACTGATCACCTAGAGTAATGGTGGCCTGTAAATTATATTATTATCACAAGAGACAATTTGGCTTTAAATTATTAGTATGTTTAATTTGCATCGAGCGCCATCTGTACTGATCGTCTAGGGCAGTGATGGCGAATCTATGGCACGCGTGCCACAGTCGGCATGCCACACAGCCTCATCATCAGGCACGCGACTAAGATATTACTTCCTTAATCAATAATCACAATAAAGTTATACTATATAATTTAAATAAGTGTTTTAGTCTGATCTTGAACGTTTCACTTACTTACTTATCGCATAATGCCACTGGCATAGGGCCCAAGCTTAGATATAAGTTTTTCATATATCGCCATAGAAATGATATACATATTTATTGACCCAGTTTAAGACATTTCAATTGTTTGGGCCAATCATATTATTTGTTACATGGCATAGAATATGCCAAAGTTGAAGCAGCTAATGTTTGCTAAACGAATTCAAATTTATTGCAAACTGCTAGTGAGTTTAAATACTTTCATTGTTAGACAGATTTTTTATACTCCAGGTCTTGAACCCTCACAAATGACTCCAGCAAAAAAGGCGAAATTCAGCAATGATAGTGGACGATCATTTCCAAAGACCTGGAACAGAATCATTTGGAGTTATTGAACACAATAAGAAAGCATTATGCATTCTGTACGGGAAAAGTGTTGTGTGTCGCACATCTAGTGTCAGACGGCACTTTAACACCAACCACAAAATTGTTGCCGAGTTTGATGAAACTGAGCGGAAGGTGTTTACTGAAGGGAAATTGAGGAATTATATAATTACCAGAAAGCTGGTTTTGCAATTATCTTTCTAAAACAAACATCTAACAACGACCACCTCTCAAATTTCACTGTGCCTGGCAAAAGTGCTCTCCGGTGGGGAATTAATCAAAGAGGTTTTGGGCACGCGGTCCCCCAAGAAAAGAGCTTTAGGCACGCGGCTCCAAAAAGGTTAGCCACCACTGTTCTAAGGCAATCATCTCGAACTGGTGGCCTGCGGACCACATGCAGGCACTGAAGCAACTTTAGACAGCCTAAGCACACATTTCAATCATGCATTTGTCATAAACACGGTGTTTATAGTTTTAGAGACATAGGTATACTGATTGAGCTTATGTGCGCGATTGCTGCTGAAGGAAAGAAGTATAAAATGAATAGCTTGGGATATTTCTTTTTCACTGTATGTGTGTAGGGCAGGCCACGTGACTAGGATAGACACATTCGATGAACCATTCTCCTTTCTGACAGTTTCTCCTCTCCAACACCAGTTTGTACGTATACTCCAAACCGTAATCTAATACTGAAAGCTAAATGCGTTGTCCACATTAAAATGTTTTCTAGATAATACTGAATTTTCAGTTGTTAGCAAAGAAAAATATAAACGCACTACTTTCTAGAAAGGAACTCTTCCAAGGAAAGCAACCTTAACAATTATTTTTTAAACGTGTTGAAAACCAAATCCACAAGCAACTGTGCCAACTGATATTGTAAAACATAAATTAATTTTAATAAATTATACGTAGATATATATTTGTTTCGCTAATGAAATAGTTTGAAAATAGTAAGTGTATATGCATGCAGGCACGTATGTATTTCATAACAATATTCTGAATAATTTGATATAATGTTTGATTTTTATTGCAAAATATTTTTCAGAATCTCTTAATGAGATAATTTTAATTTATACCTGGTAATATATGCATATTTGCGTACATGGATGTAGGTATGTGTTCACTCGCAATTTGTTAAAAAAAATTCCGGGCCATTAGCTACTTTTATATCGTGCATTCGGCCGTTTTTCTAATTCGGCAATATGCTTGTTCTGATTACGAGAAAAATCTCGCTTTGTTTCACTCATTTTCAGTTTTATATCAGACAATGGTTTAATTTTTTAGGTATTTCATATTCTTTAAATAGAGTACTTCCCTGAGTAGTATAATATCAAGTATCTTTGTCAAGTAATTTTTTCGGAAGTTAAGTTTTTCTCTCTGTGTTTTCATCTCACATTTTTAAAAAGCGATTAACCTCTCTATCCATTCTCCAAGTACGAACCGCAGCTGGAACAAAAATCCAGAAATTATGTCACAGATGAGTATCTTATTTATATTTGTGTGGGGGAGACCTCACGAGTTTTATAAAGCGTACTTGCAGAAAACATGATTGCTTGAATATTGAATGCATTTAAACGCCTTCATGACCATACGAAGCAGCTTTTACAAAGTTCATATCAATTTTATTTACAAAGCCCGGGAAAGCATGCAGGAGATACTCCAGGACATGGCGCGTGACACTGCATGAAATGCAGGACTGACCCACGCATCCAGGATATCTGATCACGTTATGGCTATCCTAAACAAAGAGCAGAAGGGTATCAGTTTCACATTTTTATTTCGCTTTGCCTCTCATTAAAACTATTTTATCATTTTCTAAGTTAATTTTCAGCATACATATAATATTTAATCTTACTGCTAAGGAAGTAAAAGAGCCAAATTTTATCAATAGTGCACAAAAATTGCTATATTAAAATGTAAACGAAAAAAGCTTCATTATAGATAGCATACCCTTTCTGAGTCAAAGAAGGAAAAAGTATTGTACATGATAACAGTAATAGGCTAGCTCAGACATATCACAAGTAAGCATTTTTAGATAGGAAATCACATAGAAGGGATACTTACTCTGGTGGCAGCTGTCGCATCGTAATTAGTCTTGTCGAACTGCCATCCTTGATCGCATTTAGTTGTAGGCCAGTCTGGATTTATGGACCAGTTGCCAGATTCTAAAATCTGCGAGTAATTGATATCATACCTTGAACAAGATTTGTCACTAGGAGGTCGGATTAATAGCTTCTGGAATTCGAGCGACAAATTGGAATGTGCCACTTCCGGTACATAGCACCAATGTTCTGGAGTATTTGATAAGAATATGCTGTTCATTGAAAACCATGGAATTACTATGAAGGCTGGGACTAGAAATCCCACAACCAAAATTTTTTGATACAGTCCGAAACCACCAACATCTTTTAGAATATCTTCGAAGTCCATTGTTAGGCTTTGACTAAGGAAAAGTTTCGTTTATAATATATCTGAAAAAAAAAAAAAAAAAAAAAAAAAAAAAAAAAAAAAAAAGAAAGATATAGTTTTCTTCATGATAATTTAAGGCATAGTGTTATCAATTTTAGAATTTATTAATTTCGTTTTACATTCACCGGATTGTTTACAACTTTTTTTCAGGTATTTCCATTTTGTTGGCTTCACTCTACTTTTACTCTACCTCTTTATTGAGCAAATCCTTTCTTTCTCGAACTCTTGTCTGTTTTAAAATAAAGACCATGGTGAATAATGGATCAAACTGAATATATTTGTCCTTGGTCACAAAGCAGTGGTCTATGCAATAACAATATGCCTTTGGCCCACTTTTGATTGATGATATTAAAGGTCTCATAGCCCTCCATTTTGACTACCAACGATACGAGTGTGTCCCGGATCTAGAAATCTTATATGCCTCCGATCCCGCGATCAAGTTACAGCCAATATCAGGGAAGGTTCATCGGGATAGAAGATACCTTCAGAAACTGGCATGTGGACCACTGATGAGCAGATGTAAAAATGTTATCCGTTACAAGTTTTAATATTCTATGGAGATCTTTCGCTAGGCCTAGCGACAATAGAATACTCCACTAATTGAGTACAAATGCTGATAATCATGTAACAGGCGGTACAGCAACGCAGCTGGTGATAAGCAAGTAAAATTTTCATAACGTATAATCTGTTGCATGATTAACACCAGTTTTGAGTACCGTGATATAAACTTGTGATTACATGTTAAACCGTGAATGAATTAATGCAACATAAAACTTTTGAATTTGTATTAAAAGGCCTTTTCGTATAAACCAAAGGAGTGTTTGCATAAATTCTGGTAGTTCTTAACTCGTATGTTGTCTGTAAAGCTTATTTGACTTTGATCCACGGCAGGTTTAACAAAATGTATGATTGTCATTATTGACCTTGGACATCTTTGAACTTCATAATTTCATATTTTTTATGTGCTTCTTTGAACTTTTAAAACTTAAACTTTTACGATAGATATATTTTTACTGAAACATGTATTCAGAATAGTGTTGCTGTGAATTTCTTATGTTGTAGAGACGTTAGGTTTATTTTGGAAGCCTGAGAGATGAAAAATGAGCAACGCCTTCACCGGGAATCGAACCACGGACCTCTGGAATACGCGCCCAGTGTGCAGACCACCACATCACGAAGGCATGCCAAGAAGGCGGGAGAAATACTTATAATGTATGTAATCTTAAATATAATCTCAACATAGTTCTTCTAAGTGTAAAACTATTTACAAACATTGGTAAATAAAAGTAATTACTATCTGAAAATGCTTTCGGAGATAGATAAATACTGGAATAACGTTTTTAATTTTAAATACCGGCTAAATAAAATGTAGCACACAGTTTCAACATGCACAATTCTAGGAAAATACACAGCCTAAGTATGCGGTTTTTCCAGTTATCCTGTTTAACTGTTCTATTTAATCTGTAATTTTACTGTCAATAATTTTATGCATAAAATTGATTTTAATGTCTCTGAAGGTAATTTTTAAAGACTAGATTTTTATTTTTCTGGCAGCAGTTCCATTCAGCTCCGGCCTTTTGCTGTCTATCAAACTGTTGTGCAAAACTGTGCGCGAAATATTTTGAAATTTTTCTACTTCTGTTTGTTTCTCAGTGTTGTGTTTTATATAAAGTGCGTAATTTTCATTTACTTCAAATGCATAAATCAACTTATATTCTATATTTTGTGATTATGACATCCTATGATCATCTGCCTCAGCTATAAACAAATATTAATTTTTACGACACTAAATCCGAGTAACAAATTCGTAAACTAAAGTGGCTTAAATTTTTTTTTAAATTGAAATTTCAACAATTTTGCGCTGACGTTGTGATTCTAATTTTTAAAAATTCATCCGAAACGAAACGATTTTCGTGCAGATAAAAGTATAAAAGAAAAGAAGTGGAAAATAAAATATTTCATAAATAAAATTAAAAAAAATATGAATTACCAGAAATCCAAATCTTACTAAATTTTCTTTTCGCACTTCAGAAATGCATAAAAAAGCAGAACTTATTTAAAAAATTATATATGCATCCAATGCAAACCGAAATTCTCAGCATTTAAGAATGTTTCAGTGCGTTTAATCAACGTTTCTTTTTTAACTGGTAGTTAAGTGTTCTGTAAAAGTTAAACTTTATTATCATCATTACGCATATGTCAATATTCAGACCATTGTGTATACTTGTATGTCTAGAATTTCTTTTATATCTATATCGCCATCTGTGTATCGCGAACATCAAATGATTTCAGATTTGTGACAGCTAACTACACCCCTAAGAAATTCATTCCCCTTTAGTTTCCAAAGATTTCGTATACGTCATTTTTAGTATTTCTGCTGTTGTTTGGTTAGTTTTTAGGGTTTATATTTATTTTAACTAAACATTTATTTTAAGCTATCTTTCCCGTCAAGCCTTACTTTCCCCTGGAATTGCCAATGCCAGAGTATGTAAATTTTAGTAGAACGCGCAAAGTACTCAAATTTTCAGCAGAAGTATTTTGAGTTAAATAGAAGGGAAACGAGTTTGTAGGTGTGCTTTCTTGATTCACGAGCGTGAAGGCTGCTAGGTAGAAATTTAAGAATCGCGCGTTTTGGCCTGTGAGCCTACTTCGGCAGTTAGTTGAATTTTTCAACTTTTTATTCAGAAAGTTTGCTGAAATCTCAGCTGTATCTTAGAACGCGGTTAAGTTAGTAACGTTTAGAGAGTCTCGTAGGTAGTGACTTGTTATTATTCATTTTTAGTTGTACTTTCTTATTTTTATTTAACCGCCGGGGTCGGCGTAGTTTGTGAGCGTCAAGTGAACGCATCTGTACCTTCTAAAGTGGAATAAAAAGGGAGTTAAACCCTTCTTAAGAGTTTGTGTACTTTCCAGTTCATAGCAGTCACTACTATTGTTGCGGGCAAATTGGGGCCACGCAACACCACAAGTTATCAGTTATTAAGATTTGTTAGGAACTATCAGAATAATTTTATGAATAAAAATATGAGCGCAGAGAGAAAAACATAAAGGAATATCTGTTAATAACAAAAAGGTTCATAACAAAAAGGTAAAAAGAGGTTTATCTACTTATTTTTAACTGATAGTTAATTTTTAGTACTTTCCTATTGCTGTCTTATCGCCCACGTTTTTTATGCCAGAATGCAAATGAGATAGCCAGCGTATATTCAGATTAAGGTAAAAAAAAAAAAAGTGCTATTTAAGCAAGCGTTTCGGGAGTTAGTTTTAGAGCGTGACTGCCTATTCCAGGCTACGTTGTGCCGTGATTATTAGCGATTTGTTTCTGTGACGTTGAATGCTTCTAGCCATTCAGCTTTGTCTAGCCGCTTTTCTACAAACCAGAGCCTTTCCTCACGTTAAATTATTCTGAGAGCCTTTAGGCTAATCTACTATATTTGAAATTGTTCAACGCTACTTATTTCTGCTAAGCTAGGAAGTGCTTAGCTTGTAACCCAAGTTGGACAATTATTAATATTTGTGTTCGAATAAAAGGGTAACACTTCTGATTTTGTTTTGTTTCACAAGGCTAGAAGATAATTCTTGAATAGTCTTTTTAAAATCTATAGTGTATGCTCCCTAACAGAACTAGACTTTGTAGGTATATGTATAAATTTTCAAAATTATGTAATTTCGCATTTTGCCAACATACCTTAGCATTCACTTAAATGGAATCATAAACGTCTCAAGTTACAAGTACCCTATTTCCATCCGTAATTTTTATTAAGCGGTGTAGGTAGATGCTAAGAATTTTCGATCAGCCTTCTTAAAGCAATCGCACTTATTATTATAAATTAAGGAAATAAACAGTACATTTTATCAAAAAATTCCTTACTTAAATTGGTGCTATAAACTGAAATATTTAAAAATTCTTAAATTCAAGTCTGGCTACAAATAAACTATATTTTTAAAATGGTGGGAAATATGATTTGAAGTACAACAAGTTATACACTGAAAATAATGGAAAAGAAATTTTAAGCAATGTCTTTTAATTTACAAAGTTAAAATTCAGCAGTTTTAGCGTTAAGTAAGAACTATACGGAAACACAGAAATCGCTTCATGTTATGCGCATTTCAATATTTTGTGGTGAGCATTGTTCTTCACTTAATATGAATTTCTATTTTGTTATAAGCTAAAATAGTAATTTTCACAGGAAACCCAGACTCGCTATTTATTGTACTGATTTGATTACTTTGTAGTGAGCATTGTTCTGTATTGTGTTGTGACTTATCTCACTTATCTGACAGTCGCATCAGAACAAGCCCACGAAATTCATCGTGGCGAAGAGTACAAGATTGCGCCTATCGTTGACAAGAACAAGGCCACGAAATTCATCGTGGCAAAGAGTACAAGATTGCGCCTATGGTTGACAAGAACAAGCCCACGAAATTCGTCGTGGCTAAGTGTGCAAGATTGCACCTACCTTTGCCAAGAGCCTTCAGCACTGCTACAACTCGAACGCGAAATGAGCGAAAGTTTCTCTTCTGCCAGTGGTAACGAGGAGTCGAAAAATGAACTGGGAAGGGAGCAGTCCTCACTCGGTTTCTCTTCATAGAATTTGATACGAAGGGGGTATAATCCCCATCTTTTGATTTGAAATTAATCTCGAATTATGTATATATTATAATATAAAAGATGTGTGTAAATAAAAAGTCATTAAGACTTTTTGAAATGAATATAGAAATCGAAAGCTCTCCCAAATAGAACTATGGATTAGAAATAACATTTTTACTATAGTGCCTTCACCAAGGGACTTTTGGATTAGAATTTCGAAGATTATCAGATGGATTACCTGCAAACAGGTAAGCAATTCCTTTTTTCTTTGAAAATTTGAAAAAAAAAAAAAAAAAAAAAAAAAAAAAAAACTGAGTTTCAATATTGTGATTAGTCAATTTTAAACATGGAAGCTTTAATTAAGACACAATAACACGCCGAATAAATACTAATTCAGAAGACAAACAACAA